GATGATGGTGATGATTGTATGATGATGGTGATGATTGTATGATGATGGTGATGATTGTAGGATGATGGTAATGATTGTATGATGATGGTGATAATTGTATGATGATGGTGATGATTGTAAGATGATGGTGAGGATTGTATGATGATGGTGATGATTGTATGATGATGATGATATGATGATGATGATAATTATATGTTGATGTTGAGTGGGATTTTTATCAATTTCATAATTATCGAAACTTCGAAAGGACAGTTAGAGAAATATTTCTACTAAATTTGCATGAAATTTGCTCAAAATAACGTCTTGACAAAACGCTTTTAACATTATGCTTCTCAAAAAGATCAAAGGAACTATTCAAAATGGCGTATGATATTAAAGGTAAACGTTTCAGAAGAAATGAGAATATTAAATTCATCCTAATAGTATCGCACATCGATCTTTAAATGATTTTTTCATAGATATTGATAAAATTAAAAAACATGAAAAATTCGTGACCTCTGACCCAACAGCGACATTAATTTGATATATTTTTTATAACATGTAATGAGAAAATGTTAGCCCTAAAAAGTATCTACCATATTTATGTTTTTACCTTCTTGAAAATGTAGCTTTGACATCTTCCTACCATCATATATAACATGTCTAAAGATTATTGGAATACTTTTGGCTATTTAGAAGAAACAGTGCGGACAAAGAACATACCAAAAGCAAAAGCTATTTTCATCCGTTGGGTTAATATATATATAAGAGTCACAGTAACAAAATTGGAACGAAAAAAACAAATCAACAGATTGCGAGATATCGCAACAAAAGAAATAATCAGAACTAACAGAAAAAATGAAACGACATATTGCGCTCCGGAACAAAAGCTCTTGTAAAATATTCGATTAGTATTTATTTTCACGTCTCAGCCATAATTTAATAAAAGAACAACCAAATGCTGAATTTAGATAGAGTTGTAGATTGAAAACATTGTAGCGTATATTTTTTTTTTAGAAAAATTGCATAAACATGGAGTAAAAAAACCTTCGCGACATCAATAATTTCCTGTTTAAGTTGTTTGGTATAAGCGGAGACAACTCACCAGCTTCAATCCGATGTCTGTTTCAAACGCAGTGGATACGAAGAAGCCCAATTCCGAAGGATCAGGTATGGTACCCGGATTATGTAACGTCACTCGGGCCCCGTGTCCTTGGGTGATACCTTTGATGTAATCCTGGTTGTCTACGTACAGCGTCAACTTTAATCCTGGAAAGGTAGACGTTTACCTGTATTAATATGCTTACTGCTATGTCTACAGTACGTTCAGCGGACGGGTTATAATCATGATAAGGTTGGGTGTATAATGTCACTCTTTCGCCTTTTGATATATATATCACCATCATCCATCATAAGTACTTGGTGGTTTGGTTGAAATATTCATTGGATTATTGCCATATGATCTTCAAATTTTAACATAATTAACGTACTTTTGGTGCATATCCGATAACAGCATATGGACGATTTGAACCTTTTAGTGTCGGTTTAACAATAATTTTGAGGTTTGCCTTCTGTTTAAAACTACTGTGGAGTTGTCCAGGACACTAAACCTAAAACAATACCGTACTAACTTGGTCACATCATGAAACCACAAGAACAATACAAAAAGTTTACTATAATGATACAACTTATTGTAAACACGTCTTAAACTATTCTACACATTAAATAAGTCCAAGTTAAAAAAAAATAAAAAAATGTCACGTCCACATAAAGCGAGATCAATTTTCTCATTGCGTGCACGTGGATAAATCGAAAGATATCACCTATATACCACTACCTTATGTACATTTACCTCCCAATTCATAAAAAGTAAGCTAAATGCCATATTCTAACTTACTTCTAGCTTAACGCTTATCTAGATCCTCGGGCTGTGACAAACGTAAACACCATGCACCTTACAACTTTGTAGAAAGTTCATTTTTAAAGCAATTTCATCGTCACTGGCTTCTTCATATGCTCATTTACGCTTAAAATGGTGGTGTTATCCTTACAATATTTTTTTATAATTTTTTCAATGATTTGTGTATGACAGACAGACGTTCTTTTTTGAGAAAATACATTCCCAAATGGGAAAATACGTTCTCAAGATTTCTCAAATTTCTAATACTAGCGACCCATGGTAATGTATTTATCATGCTACTGGTAGGTGGTATAATGCAGTATATATATGATAAACAATGATCCCTCACAATAACCTGGAAGGTGAAGCCAGGTGTTGGGGGAGAACAAAGGTTTCAGCCTTATATGTGGCATCTGTCATCATTTCTCCTGTTAAATCTTACGATATAATACAAGGTGAACAGGTATGTTAATCAACACAGGAACTGAAATTGATGACCATAAATCAGATCCTGCTACAAGACCGTAAAATATCGCTAGCGTGGATTGGAGCATTTCTGGTAGAAAACCCTGCTGACATTTCCTTACAAAGTTTAATTTACAAACTACTTAAAAGCTGATAGTGCCGTACAAGAAAACACTCATCTTGATCTTGTTTGGAATTGCCAAAATCTTACCTGTTGACGGTCCAGATTGTTTGGAAACAAATTTTGGCGACTGTATGGTATAGCAGTTTCCATAGGTTGGTGTTTGAATCAATGTGAAATTACTGTAAAATAAATAGGTAAATAATTATCCAAACTGTCGTCTCAGAAGTTGACAAGGCATAATTAGAATAAACACTTTTGTGTAGTACATCCTAACATACTGACAGAAATTCCCTATCTTATTGATTTGTTTTATTGACGTTTTTCACCTGAAGCAAATGGTAATTTAGCCGATGAAAACATGACCTTGTCACTGCAAATATGTCAGTTTTATACTTCGGCAAAACAGTCGCAGAAAATAAAAATAAGTTATTGTTGTTTAACATTAATATAGATTCTATAGATTCTCGAAAAACGTGCTTCTGTGCATCATGGAAAATATGTGTAGGTTACTGCTAAGAATATGTATTTAAATCTTTAATTGTTAACATAGTTCGACCAGCAGACCAGAACAGGGATGGCTGCATAATTTCATTATGACTTTTATCAAAATAAGACGTACTACCTTCTTGATGATTACATAATATTCACAGCCTTCCTCCTTTCTAGTACCGACTCAAATACTCATATCCAATAAATTGTTTAATAGTGATATTACTGATACGTACTCTGGGTAACACGTCTGGCCGTTGAAGGCACATGATACCAACATGTTGTCGATGGTGTGGCCTATGCTTACACGCGTGTCTCTGAAAACAAATGATACCAATTACAATATTTTCGAGACTGATAGATTACATGCATTTTGACACAAATTCACCGACTTCGTTAGCTCAAAATATGATTATACTTGGTGTTTGGAACTCATATTCGATCAAACAACGTCTGTGATATGATATCATGGACACAACATGAATTTACTATGAGCACTTTCTTGAATTTATGTCAACCATTTCAAAGTCAATTTCGAAAATACTCTTAGAGATCCAAGTCCCACTGCACTGTGTTTTTTCTTAGACACAGTAACCCCCCCTTTTATACACAGTAACCTCCCCTTAAATTCGTTTTTAATAAAATTGTAGACACTCCCGTTGACCATCGCCCGTATTCATGAAACCGATCTCATGCTCAAGCATGGGTTGTGTGTTCAAGCCCAATTTATTGTTTCAGTTATAAGTTAACAAAATAATATTATTGTTTAATGATTTGGAAAGCATTTGAAAAGACTTATAAATAAAGTCAGATACCATTTTGGTTGTGTACCTTTGTAAGTGCGTTACAACAAATTGTAATTTGCAAAATCCATGGTTGAGCATGAGAACGGTTTCATGGATACGGCCCCTGTTAGCTTGGTCTGTTAGCGCAGTAGTATATTATACACAATTATTTGAGGTCCAGGGTTCGAATCCGTGTCTATCGACGCTGCTTTGTTTTTTATTTTGATTGCAATAAGAATATTATTGTTGATTACTTTCTGATTATTACATAAAATAATATCGTATATTTTGCTTTGTAGAAACGATTCGTCAAAGCTATAGACTGCGTCGTTTCGGTTTCAGCAGTGGTAAGAGGATCCTTGAACAGTTGAGACATCAACTAGAATAATTGACGAGTAAACTGTAGTCGGACATATTGTCACGTGACATGCACATCTACAATTAACATATTCCCGCGGTTCGGAGAATAGCGGGAATTATTTGTTTTATCGGTTCGATACGGATACTGCCGATCGTGCTTAGCCAATCGAATTGGCTCTGTATGTAGCACGTGCGATACGTGTAAGCGTATCGGGTACATGGGTCATTTTCTAGCCGCCTTTCCAGCGCGACGGTCATATTCAATTTTAATAATATAGCTTTTGGCAAGGTCAGCGGATTAGCGTGACGTGGATATGGTAGAGTAATCCCAGCAACTTGAAGTTTCGAGCTTTGAAGGGCTGGTGCACCTCCTGACTTGTCTGGTTTACCAGTTATTTTCCGGTTGGGTGGCTCGCTCAGCTTCCTATTCTCTACTATATCGCACTAGTGTTTTATCTTGTGTATCATATGGGGAAAGATACACGTGAGAAAGATAAGAGTACGGATTGATATATATGTATAATAATAGCATTAGAATTGCATATGTAAAAGTTTTTTTTGTGTATGAACCTTTGTCAATGTATGTTATTTTTGAAACGCATCAATTAAATGCTTGACCATAGCGCACGGCGGGCTAGGCGGGCAAACTGATATGTTTGTGTCGTGTTGTTTATGACGTAGTAGAGATTTGACGTATATATATGCATACCTATTTATAGCCTTGTACACATGCGTATCTATCTATATACCTGTGCACACGTGTAGCTAAAATGTTACACGTGCATACCTATCGACATCCATGTAAAGGTCTGTGAAGGTGGCCTCTATGTCCGAAACAGCGTCACGGGGACCGACGGAAGTGTCCTTTTGGGCAGTTTGTTGTTTCTTGTAGTCCGCCAGGTTGATGTCTTTGTACGTCTGCACCGCCCGTTTTCGTCGCTTTCCTGTCTGTTTGTACATAAATAGACAACAGTTTATATTCATCAAAGGTAAACTTAAGTGATGTATTAAAATATTGTTATAAATAGTATATACTTGCATTGACATCCTCGAAATTCCAGGGGTTACCCTCACTTTTGTTCTCTGCACTCCTGGAATGTCTCGTGACTAAATCGAAGGCTCTAGGCACACGCTTTATACTTTGTGGATATAATGTGCATAGAAATAATCGCGCGGCACCGTAACGGTAAAATTGAAGTCGGGTATCGCTACTCTGTCATTTTCTGTGTCCTTTATTTTGTTTAATGGCCTATTAACAGCTAAGGTCACTTAAAGACGTGCTTCTAGGTCCATAGCATAGCAATTGGTCATATATTTTTTTATCCTAAAACCAATCAAATAGCTAACCGTGTGCCTTCGATGTTATCATACATTATTCTTCGGGTGCTGCGTTACCCACGGAGTATTGATTATTCCTCTAGAACCTTATAAATCTGTATTATATTTTTCAGGAAAAAAAGATGATGCTGTGAAAATAAAGTTGATATTTTTCTACTGTAAAAATAACCCTTTTTTGAAGTATTCCGACACACTAGTGAAAGCAATGGTATCCAACGAGAAATCATGATTTTTTCTATCAATTACATTTTGGTGAGACATATTTTTTTTCGGCAAGTCGGCTAGGCGTTTACTGGGTTTGCGCTGTAATCACGTGACATTTGTTTGACGTCATGTGAGGATAGTATCATTGGATTGTTGCCATTGTAAGCTGTGTTTGTAAAACTAAACCCATCTGATTTATAAGTATTATAGTTTACTTGGTATGTGCGCGTCAGATGAAATGCAACCCTTATAATTTTCATATTTAAACGGCCGACTCCATTTCGCTGATGGTCCAGTCACCGTTCTGGTTTTTAAGAAATAAAATTGATATCTTTCACCAGCTGAACAATTCCAAAGTGGTATCTTTCATTGGTTAAAAATCGTGAAAAACATCCCTTTCATCAAGATGATGGTATTCTTTATCTCATTTCTAGTAAATTGTTATAGAATATATGATCTCATACACAGATCGAAAGTGTTTTTATTGCTCCGCAAATAGTTGATAAGTTTTATGAAACATCCATTATTTTATTACAACATATTTTGTTTTCAATTCTGTCTGACTGATCCATAAAGTTTGTAAAACTTAACGTAGTTGCTTCCCTTGCAGCTTAAAAGTGGTGTATTGTCCCACGTGCCTACTATTAAAAACAATTTTTCATAAAAAGTAACATATGTTTCTATAATACCCCAACATTCAGATAATAGGTTTACCTCGGAGGAAACTTAGGGCAGAGTAAAGTCTATTCATATTTTTTCCTCATTTTACCTTTATTGCTTGTTTTGTGTTTTGTTTAAGATTTTGTTTGTTTTTTCACAACTCGCCGATTCAATTTGGTGTAAAAGATTACAAACGTGTTATTTTCATGCTGAAATTATAACATTAATTCCACGATAAAACTATTTTTCATTACTGAAATGAAATAAAAGGAAACATTATTTTAAATAAAACATAGCTCCGACACATGACACGGTACACATTGTCCATATTTTTCTGTCTCGAATTGAATGGAAATGCGTTATAAAACAACCTACCAGATGAAGTTAATCGTACGAAATCGAGAATAATTTGGTAACCTATACATTCATGGCCGTTACCGAAAACCAGTCAATCTAATTCGCTAGTTTGTGTATATGGCTTCAATAAGTTTAGAATATGATGTACTTGACTGAAGTAATATCTGTTAAAAAGTGTTGATCGTGTGTATGTAAACCCCACAAACACATCCAAAAGGCTGTAACTGTAAGTTCGTCATCAAAATGTCATGGACAAATGATATCGTACTGTCATCTTAGTTTAATTTGCATAATGAACAATATTCAATAATACTGAAGTAAAACAGTTAAGTCACCTGTCCAAGTCCACCAGGTGCAGTTCCAGTTCCTGTTCCTGTTCCGGTTCCTGTTCCGGTTCCGGTTCCTTGGCCTTGGTTACCAGTATATGCGCCGGTTTGTGTGGGATCTAGTTGTGTTGGGTCGACAGCGGTTGTCAGAGCACGTAAGCTATCGAGGGAGCTATCGGGATGGTCACGAAGTTTGGAGTTCCGAATGATGTTTACGTTACAAACGGTAATCGCGGGTAACTGGAGATTACTGAAGCCAAGTTCAATTGTTGTCGATTTTGGCCACTGAAAGAACTGGTTGCCGAGATAGTAAAGATGCAATACCATCATTGCAATGGCACCGATCAGCAGAAAAGTCCAAATGATTTTGGCAACACGCAGCTTTGCGACGTTGATGTAGGGGACACCCTGCATCGATGTCTTTTCAGCGAATCGTTCAATTACGCGACCGAATGACTTCTTTTTGCCCTGTGAGTCTAATGATACCACACTTCCGTTTGAATCTCTATCGCCATTGTCAATGTACCTGCTATCCGACGACGACATATGTCCGTCCATTCTGTCCGATTCCGGTCTGTATCCACCCGTTCTGTTCGATCCTGGTGTGTTTCCTTCCATTCTGTCCGAATCCGTTGTGTTTGACCAAGATCCGTACCCGTTCATAATTATGTAGCTGTGTAAAGACATAAAAAATATCAATAAATCTAGCAGCCACGTTAAACAGGACAAATCACAAACGTATGCGTATATTCAAACACTACGACTTCTCCTCCTGAAAGCGAGTAAATATATAGTATAAACGGTCGAACTTTTCGATATTTTTAGTTAATATACTATACACTTGTACTAATATCCATTAGCCAACACCTGACCAATGGCGTTTTGGACATTAGTGCCGATATTTTTCATTAACGGCAATTGCGCCGTCTCTATGAGTCGGTTCCTGAAACTGTTTGTCCAATTTCTATCCGTAATCGAGACACCAGCGATTTACTGTAGTCTGTTAAAACCACCCGAGAATAAACAAACCTCACACGTCAATATTATATTTACACAGTCTCAGCATTACAACGTGCAAACAGATGATCATTAAAGTATGTAGCGTTTCACCCGAATTCGATTCCCCCACAGAGACATGTAATATGCCATACAACTGAAGTTATATAAATGGTAGACACAGTATATAAAGTAGTCACCCTGTGATGTCCGCTTATATGTTAAGGCCCCTGTGATTCCTACATAACATACACTCGAGTACACCAATCACTATAACATGTTAAGGTACCCTGTCTAAAAACTGTAACCATAAACTGGAGTAGTTTTACCATCATGTCAATAGCTTTGAGAAATCATTTTGAAAAGAAAGTATAGTCTATTTTGATAAGATCGTTAAAATAGAATAAATATTAAAACAAAATATCAACAATAGTGCTCAGAGACCAAGCGGGCAACTGGTCACACCGGGATTAGAACCTCAAATCGCTCTATTGGCTGAAGTTGCTAGGCCCAGTCCAAAACAAAATTAAGGGGAGGTTACTGTATATATCAAAAATTAAGGATCCCTGTCCCACTAAAATCAAAACACTAGATACTTCTATACCGTAGTATTTCGTACATAGGGTGGCAACTGGAGCACAACTGGAGAAAAACGCTTCCGTTGACGGTTCGAACCGTGATCTAGCCCCTTTTCGAAATTAGGCTCAAAGCCTATTTTTCCTGTTCATCTTTGTTTATTCTTTTCACTTAAGTTCCCTTAGGTCTAGTTTTCCTTTGATTTTATGAAAGCTATAGCCAGTTTCCAATACATATAGTTATACTTTTTGGCTGTGGTACGGGGTTCCTTTATTTGTTTCTGGCCAACAATCAATCCGGCTGTTTTCTCACGGAAAAATAACAACTATAAGGCTATAGAATAGAAATAAATACAATGAAACATTTTATTGTTGTAGTTAGGTACTAAACACGAGTCGATGAACCGTGAATTTCTTAGCAAGTAGTTTGTAAAACTAATCGTCGTTACAGGTGAATTAAAGCGAGTTAAACTGTGTGTAAAACTTTAGAAGTGCTTTATAAATAAGTACCTGTTCATCACTTTTTATTTGATTTATGATATACTCTTTCACGTGTAGCAATTTGTGGTTTACATCAGAGACGTATATACTACAGAGATTAGAAATGTGTCTCTGTTTAAATATATTGATTTATGAAATAAATCCTATGAACGATTTGTGGTCTTAAGGAAAAGATATGTATGCATTTGATTTGTAAAATTATGATCACTTGTTCTCTCGGACAATATCATTTGAGACCACATCCGGGTGCTTCGTGTGGCGCGGGAAATATTTTCCAATCAGGAGCATGCACCGAGTTTTTTGTGTGGTTCCGTATCTCCTTATCTTCTGTTGCTATTATTTATGTTACGTATTCTGTACTTGTGTGTTGACGATATCTCAAGGTGTGTCCTTGTATTTTAACTCATGAGGAACATCATTAATATCAAGAAAAGTTTATCTACACATGGACGCAACTTTAACATTTACTAATCGCATTCAAGATCAAATATTCAGAAATTTTCGTTTACATAGAAAACTGTTGATTTATGGAACAAACTTCCGTCTAATGTTAAGAATTCAAGCACAGCTAAGTAACTTGAATGTAAATTAGATTAACACTAGCAAAACCAAGCGCAGAAATACAGTTTTAAAGACAAAATCGAAATCTCAACGTCGCAACTTTTGAAATATGTTATTTTATTATTATATTTTATTTCAGAGCTGACTGCAAAATCCTAATGTTGTCAGAATAAAATCTATGTATCTACACTTTGTTATTTTGTTTACTTGGTATCTTGATACGTTGCCAACCATATAGGTGACCACCGTCCACGTTATGACATTGTTTAGGACCTTGTATCGTCATAATAAGCCTTAGTTCAACGCTATAATGAGCACACAGAATGACCTGTCTTAGGGCTCTGACACTATCTAACCGTGGGGAATTACTCTGCAGGGATCTAGACTTTTAAAGATTACAAAAGAAATGGCATCATCGCTAAGATGGTTTGAATGGGGCGTTCTCAAGTTTTTCAAGTTTTATTTGTACACTCACGCCACACGTATACGTGCGTAACAAGAGGTCACATAGTACATAGTATACATTGATGGACATAGTACACACAAAATATGACACATGATACTATTTATACAATAACAACCAATTTCAATAATTCTTTCAGCTAACTTATTTTAGATATCAAGAAGCTTCATTACTCTTTGTATAAATTTACTTACTTTTGTTAAAAGTACCGTGTTACATATTGAGAACATTCCTTTCATTTTGATATAAGTTGGGTTGACATAGTAATAATTTGGTATATAAAGTTGTCTAAGAGCTACAACAGATACATTAGTACATTGGTATAAATAAGTAGTGGTATTCGTCCCCAACACAGTTATTAAATAGGGGACATAACCTTTCCTCGCGTTGGACTCAATTCCATCTTCCTGTTTCTATAGGAAATTTTATATTTGATGTTATAAATTAACATGTTATTTTTCGTTCATTACGATAAAGCTTTAAAAGATACTGTTCAATATTAAACTGATATTTGAATAAGGAGTAAACTTGCCCTCGCGAGGAGGTTTCAACATCATGAAACAAACTTTGAATGAATTGATCGCATAATCTTTGCTTAATGATAGTTTTCAAGCATTGTCTATTAATTGTACATGATATTGTAAAGTCCATAAATAATTAAAACCAGCATTGTTTAAAATATCTCGTATATACGTTAACCATTTAAAACTTAATACAGAATTCTGGTGCAAATTATACATTAACTTATACATTACACTAGATAATTTCGACCCACCCGTTATAAGCTTTTGCCAGAACATAACCATTCTAACACTGATTTCAATTTCTAGCGGATACCTTCCCAACTCACCATATACCATATAAGTTGGGGTGCTCTTCCGAATGTTAAGAATTTCCTTACAAAACTATAAACGTATTTTTTCGATCCTTTTTGTATTTTCATAGCCCCAAATTTCACATCCATTTAATAAAATAGGTGACACAAGTGCATCAAATAATTTCAGTTGAAGATCTACAGGAATGGAAACATTTCTAATCTTAATATACAATGCATATAAAGCTTTTTTTGCTTGCTCCGTTAGCTTACTTTTGGCTTTTGTAAAAACACCATTGTAGTTTAATATTATTCCAAGATATGGGTACGAATCTTGTATTTCTAAAATCTCATCATTGAACGAAAAGTGATGGTCTCTTTTACTTTTTTCTTTTTTCAAAAATCAAAACTTAAGTTTTTTGTGTATAATTTTGGAATTCATTCAATGCGTTCTGTAGGCCATCTGTTGTTTCTGACAAAAGCACTGTATCATCAGCATATAATATAATAAAAAAATTAAGTACGAACCTAAATTTTGATCACTAAGTTCTCAAGGTGTGCTTGGGTAATGGTAAAACTCATCATTATCTCACTAATTAGCATAGACCGGTGATCACTTCTATAGCTCACCAGGATGGAAATGATAGCTTGGATAACTATAGACATTTAATGATTTTTATGATAGTTATAATATACTTCTAACATCTAGGGATTTAGATGAATTTCTGGGTTTTTTAAAGTTTAATTATCAACTGTTAAATAGCATACTCTTAGTCACACATAGCCAATTCTTACTAGGTATTTAGGCATCTTATTAAATGTTACACTAATAAAGAAAAGTTTCTTTTTATAACTATTTATATTACTATTTTAATAATATGTTTAAAGTACAAAATATAATAACATCAGAAGCACAAGGACTACAGAATGGATATATTTAATAAATATAAATATATAATTAATATTTAAATATTATATTTTTTAACATTTATTATTAAAAAAATCTGAAATCTTATATGATGTTTTATTAAATTAAATATGATCAGCTTCCAGCTTAGATAGAACACCACGTAGATAGAAGGGTTAACTACAGGTAAATACAGGTAAATACTGCCAATACTACTCAGAAACAGACTATGTTATTCTAAAAAGGGGGGAACTGATAAAAAGCCGCGTGTGAACAATACGTATTTATGGTATGTTTACAGGGTTGTGTGTTAATACGGTCTTGCTTTGTTTTCATTACCGAACATGAGTTTCCTTTAACACTGAATGAGGTGAAATTCGCTAGGCTGGCTATATAGGACAGATTCAACATACACGTCAAAGAAAGAATCATCCTCGATATCCAGGGGTTACGCTCTCTGCAACCCTGCAAAATTGAAGGCTCAGTGCGTACCACCTTGTTGATGAGAAAAGAAGTTAAGACTAGTTCGATCCTTTGATGAACATCAATATAATCTCGCGGTCGCGTAACGGTAAAACTTACTGGCTTTGAAGTCGGTTGTCGCCCATTTATAATCTTCAAAGGACAGGTATCGGCCTAGCGATTGGTCAGGTTTTTTTTACCCGAAACCAATCAAACAGCTATCTGTGTGCATTCAATTTTACTATGACATATTCCAGGGTTGCAGAGAGCGTAAGGGAGCGTAACCCCTGGATATCGAGGATGAGAAAGAATATATTCATTTAGATTTTTTAAAGTATCACCATTATATTAAAAGGATTAAACATTCGTTGTGATCTCCGGTTCTTTTATTAAACAGGGATCATGAAAATTGTCCCCGGTCAGGAAACCGGCTACCTATTTCACTACTGTAAAGTTTTTCAAGAACGATAACTCTTACATGCAATTACTATTTGTTTATATGGTTTTATTATAAAATGTCAATTTTTAATCGTTTATATATAATTAATCTTACACAATTTCAGCATTTATTAAATGGATATACATTAATGCAATACTAATCTATGTCAGTATCATTTTTATTGACATTATTTTGTAAAAGATTGTGTCTTTCATTTTGTTTCAAAATTCACTCCTTTTTTTACATAAAATTTCCATTTGAAATCCTTAAAAATCTGACAACCTAATTTTTTTTCGTAGCAGAAAATTTTCTTTACTTCAAACCAATATAACTACAAAGTTTGAAGAAATTCTACTGAGAAATGGTGTCACAATCCTATTACCTTAACTACCTCTCTTGCATGTTACTCGTGCACTTCCGGTCTTCACCTGGAACTCCTCTACATTCTACTCACAAACTTACCTACTCTGATAGGTTCCTGTTATGGTTTATCAATACATCCGAGTAGTAAGTTTGCGACATTGTTGTCGTCGGTCACCGGTTTGTTTTCAAATTTATGAACCGTATCGGTTACTTACTCTGCTGTGGTACTGTGTTAAACTTTTGAATCACTTTCCGATGTCCGTCACACCTACCTAACTGGTGTACTCGACCATCTGACCATTAGAGGGCCCCTGTCTTTGCTTAACATGTTGTGAGGGATACACCACTAAACGTGTAACGCATGCGCCCCGAACGCGTTTGTGTTGATTGTGTCACATGATAAGTTTTGGTTGACCGTGTATCGGCTCGCGCGTCCCATGCATGTGTACATGTAGCTTCTCTCGTCTGTATGTAAATGACATGGGTGACGCAGGGACCTATATATTACTGTGATATATAGGCCACTGGATAACGTAAATAAAAATAGCTTTAAACGTTGGTCTAGCTTCAATTTTTTAAATCTAAAGTATTTTCTTACGCATTTCATTGACATTGTTGAAAAAAATATAAGAGAACTATTTACAATTTTGAAAAGGACGACATGACCATTACTTGGATGTGGATATAAATCGGTCATGGCGCCCTATGTACTATACAATGTAGCTAACACAGGGGCCTGAAAATGTGTTACAGCTATATTTGGACCTTAGCAAAGTTTAACATGTTTTAGGGATCTAGTTCGGTAAAAATGCCACCCCAACTAATATATATCAACATTGGGAGTGGCATTTTACCGAAAGTGTATCGAAATATACCTTGGTGTAGATCCAAATATGGCTGTAACAAATTCTTATGTCCCTGTTCTAGTATGCCATTAGTCGGACCTGCTACTTGTGGCACCCCTCGTCACTTAGTTAAATGACACTGGTGACACCCTCCGTCATGTAAATAAATGACACTTGTGACACACTTCGTCATGTAGGTAAATGACACTTGTGACACCCTTCGTCATATGAAGGTAAATGACACTTGTGGCACCCCTCGTTATGTAGTTAAATGACACTTGTGGCACCCTGCGTCGTGTAGTTTGATAACACGTGTGGCACCCCTCGAAATATAGTTAAATGACACTTGTGGCACCCTTCTGAATCTCCTAGATGATACTTCGCCATGCAGATTTATTACACATGTGCCACCCTACTTGTGAAGTTAAATAACACTTGTGGCAACCCTTCTATTGCAGCTCAAATGGTACCCCTCGTCATTTAGTTAAATGACACTTGTGACACCCTGCGTCGAGTAGTTTGATAACACTTGTGGCACCCCTCGTTATGTAGTTAAATGACACTTGTGGCAGCCTGCGTCGTGTAGTTTGATAACACTTGTGGCACCCCTCGTTATGTAGTTAAATAACACTTGTGGCAACCCTTCTATTGCAGGTCAAATGGCACGTGTGGTACTTTTAGCCCCATGATTTAACAGTTAACAGAAATTAGCAGTTTATAATGACCAGTTGTTTTGTGTGATCTGTTTGATTTAATTAAACATGTGGCACCCCTCCTGATATCCTTCTTGACGTCAAATCAAGTTCAATGTCATATTTTCTCTCTCAAATGTATCATATAATGAGTACCAATTACGTGCGATATTGATCAGCTTGAATGAAGTTATGTACATAGTAGAGAACTTTAATGAAGCGTGATATATCTAGTCATGCGTCAGTTACGGACTTCAATTTCCTAACCTTTCCGTTCATATACATCTCTTGTTGATATACCGTCTTTATATGACCTTAACTGTTACGGTACAGTAAAACCTTTCAGGGGCGTAGCTAGGCCCATCGATATGTGTAAACCAAGCACGTGCTTTGCAGTGTGATGCTTGGGTTTTTAGTTACCGACATCGTGGCAGGGATTATGTCACTTTTTGAATCAGTATTACGTGATTTTGGATTGAAGAAGGTATATATCTTCTTTCAATTTTCGGAGATCTGTTCAACTCAAAGTTTAAAAATATAAAAATATGTTAGCCAGTTTACCGCATGATGTTCACAAGTCACGATTTTACAATACACATACAATTGAAAGAAAGTCGTGACGCCACACAAAAGAGATTACTCATACTGTGGATTAGTCAGATACGTGTAGACAATAATACCCAAACACGTAAACTAAAATGACGCGGCGTTAGTAAAGGTGTTAATTCTAATACCAGAACCGTCACACGAGAGTTATATATAAAGTAGCGCTGATTATGGATGAGAATCTTACTACGATGACCAAAATACAAGAGTTACTTGTGAATCTCACAACAAGAACCATCATACGGGATTATATACCAAATTAGAATATTTGTACCTAGTCTGTTATATAACGGTTACTTGAGAGTCTTACTAACGGGATAATCATACATGTAAAACTCTGTGTGAACCCATTCATATCACTAGGACTATTAAAGGAGATTCACACATATATACATGTGTATCTTACCGATAGAACAATTACACGATAGTTAAACGAGAATCCTACTAATTACTAACAATACTATACAAGATGTAAATGTAGCAAATTAGCACCTGCTCCTCTTTAACATTGATCTACCCAGTGAAAGGAAACACAGGGACCTGAAAATACGTAACCATATTGACAAAACTGTAACAAATTCTCAGATCCCAGTGTGAGGAAACACAGGGATCTGAAAATAAGTTATCATATTAGCAAAACTGCAACAAATACTCAGATCCCAGTGTAACGAAACACAGGGATCTGAAAATATGTTATCATATTAGCAAAACTGCAACAAATACTCAGATCCCAGTGTGAGGAAACACAGGGACCTTAGGATATGTTATCATATTAGCAAAACTGTATCAAATTCTCAGATCTCAGTTTGAGGAAACACAGGGACCTGAAAATATGTAACCATATAAGCAAAACTGTAACAATTACTCAGATGCAAGGAAACAGTGACGAGAATGAATGTTTCAGGACCTGGTATTGTACAGTCGGTAAAATTACACCCTACTGATCAAAGGGACGTAGGTTCCTATCCTGATGCGGCCATGATGTGGGCATTTTCTAAGCAGGACGCTTTGACTTTGGCGCTTAAATCCACGTGCTCAGTGTGGAGTATAATATGGTCTCTATCGGGTAAAGCGGTATGTTATACTAAACATGAGGCGTTAGAAATACGGACCATAACAAACAGTCTTAAGGAACTGCCAGCATATCCACACACACACAGATACGCATGTGTATGCACAAAGGGGATCGAACTATTAGTGCGTATGTAAGGCTGGTCCTACACTCACGTGAAGATATTAAAGTATAAAGTGGCTAAGACTGAAACCTCTGGCACGACAGTGGAATATCCTTGTATTTTATGCAATCAGGGCAATGGTCTGAACCAGAAGAATGTATAATCCGTACAAGTACCAGCAGGTAGCGGGGACTCGGTCTATAACGACCTTATTGGTACATAATGGTTATATATTTTAAATTGCCGATACTCCAAGTTATAGGATAGCAAATAATAAAAACTCTTACCGGGATTCAAAATCGTCACAAGATAAAACCAATATTTGTATCAATGGGTTGAAAATTCAAAACTTGAGTTAACCTGTCAATCAAGATATTGAAGCAGAATAAATGCTATCCATGTATGAAGTTCATCGCCATCAGGAGCAGGCAGTTAGGCTTCATATGGTAACACCCCATGTTCAATCATGACGATTTAAGACACAGATTCTCTATTACACAAAGTCAATGGCTGACCTGTACTTCAAGCTCATTAATCAGTGATATTGTAGAACATATGTGTATACATATACTCGTGGAAGGAAAACAATCTTTTCAGAAATAAACTGTAAATACATGAAGGATGTATGTCAATTCCCGAAAAAAAATCTTTCTTTCAGAAACAGGAATATGACAAAAATGGATATCGCTTTTCCTGAAGAAAGCCTTACCTTTAAATGATAGTGTATACTTTGTTGAACAAATCCATATTAAGATACCCCCTTCACTTTACTGCCGAACACTTGTTAATCCACCCGTATACTGAGCGCCGTCTGGTTACATTTAAACGACCAGTTCTTCGTCAATAGAGTATCTATCGGTAGGACAGGGTTTAAGAGTACTCGGTCTATTGCAGATGAACTTCTGACCCACAGTCAGATTCTTTAGATTCTGTATTAGCCGAGAGCCATACGACTCATAGTCGCAACACAAATACAAGTACATATAGCATACAAGTGCACAAACACTCTTAATTAAACAAAGAACTCCTAAATTACGTCGAAGCTTTGTCCAATAATTGATAGACATGTATCTATACATATATTTTTCAAAGTATTATATAGTGTTGTAAGAGGTGGAATCCATATTTTCTGAAGCATCTAAATGTTTAGATATATACAAGTACACATAGTTTGCGGAATACAGAAGGATATCGACTCACTACACTCGGGAAAGATAACAAACCATGCATCTATGGACCCGGGAAGGAGTGACTAATTAACGAGAACACGTATCATAACCGACTGATATGAAAATAACGCTTTTTAAGGTTAGCACTTGTCCGGAGCCTGATTATTGTGATATTTAAATAGTTGTAACAAGCATACGTTCAATTTGAGTTGATTTTGACCAACATATAGGAGGGATGACAAGTTTGTGAAGGAAGATAGATAGTATGAAAATGATAAACTGTAAACATGTTTGTGTAAATGTTTTATACATACCAATTTGTTATAAATAAGAGACGGACGTCAAACTAAAATCGGTAGTGACGCGGACGAAAAACCGATCAATAAACTAAATCAGAACGACAGAGAGCGCGGATAGGGGAGAACGGACCAGGACTGTTTATGGCGACCAACAGAGAAAGACAGGGACAGTCGTTAACACATTGACACTAAGAAAACAAACTTCAACTTGAGAAACAAACAAACCTAGTTGACTCTTGTTTTATTACAAATGCTCTTCTAGGTTTTTGCTTTTTCCTGGAAAGGGCATACCATGGACCCCCCCTCCCCCAAGAGGCCTCAAACGCGTGCGCGGTTGTCTCTTGCAATACGGGCCTTAGAGCGAGGACTCGCCTTTAAAATATCTGGGTCCTTCCGGAGCTTATTCTGACAAAAGGTAACGCCACTTCCTCTCGTCTATTGAAACTTTTGTGCTGCCCCACACAATTTTAAGGTTCCAACGCCATTGAAAATCTTTGGAAACGTGCGTGTTTGTGTATAAAGTATGACTATATTATGTTAAGAATACTGTCACGAAATATACTGTGCTTC